TGTATTTCATGTGAGCTGTGTGCTTGCTTGGTTGTAGTTTTTCTACAAAAACGTTCTATCCAATCAGGATCATTTTGTTTCGCAAGCACTCTTTTATAGTGATCTAGCTTGTCTTGAATGGTATCTTCATATTCATCAAGATCATATTCGATCTGACTTAATTCGTCTGGGTCAGTATTACTGCTAAAGAGTTTGTCTTTATAAGCCTCGATGGTCTCCTTCACCTGGACATATTTTTCGTTAGCTGCCTCTGTGTAGAGGTTGAACTCAAAGAAGTCAATTGGATTGTTTTCTAAACAGTTGTCGCAGTCGTTAAGTCGTCTTGATAGGTACTTTTGGAGACTTCTCAGGATAATACTGATTCTCTTTAATATTTCAGAAGTATCCATTCTGGATGTAAATTTGAGCCTTATAAGGCTTATATAGCTAGTGGTATAGCTATGGTGTCTGCTCCTTGATGTAGAGCAGGTATAAGTATTGACAGCCTGGTATTTCTTGAGGCTGGTTGTAATTTACCTCATTTAGAGGTTAGCTACCTACCTAATAATAAGCAACTAAGATTTGAGTGGTACCTTGGTCTCACTACAGGTGTTCCTCAGCTTAGCTCTTCTAAATCAGCCTCAGATGGGTAGTGGACTTACAGTAACACTCAAAGACATACATGGAAATATGCTATAAAATAATTACACAATAAATGGTTAATCCCACCCTTGATAGGGTCAGCACAAAAGAATAATATATATCACTAACTAGCTCAAGCCTAGTCGTGAGAATTTCTACTTAAGAAACTACAACTATATTTAGTCTGTGCTTGTGCCAAATTCAACACAATCACAGCCTAAATTGCTACCTAATGAAGGTTGGCAAAGATTATATTATGGTGCAGTAATGTGCAAATAATTGTGCTGTGTTTTTGGGGTTTTTGTATTTTATATAATATACACTCGTATAATTATGTGTATAAGAAATTAAATGAACACAAAAGAATTAATTGTGTTTGGCAAGTATTCTACTGCCGTAAATATTATCTAACTCCTAAATGTACTCCTAATTGTGGAATAAAATATTATCAGGGTTAGTAGTGATTAACTAGTATGAGATCAGTAATTTATATTAGTATACTGGATCCCTAAATGTTAATGATCCACTGACTTGAGTGGATCAGTAATTATAACATGGATTCAGGCTATAATGGACAGTCTGCTGACAGCCATATATTGAAACATTGGTATAGCCTAAATGGTTAACACTTAATTGGTGTTAGTGATTAATATAAGGTTATGAGCTGTTGCTCTTGGTGACCTAAGGATTCTACTTCAGTATGAAGTGTAGGTCTAAATGTTGTGGGTAATTGGCTATGACCCACTAAAGCTACCTTATACATGAGGTGAAAGTAGCAATATGTTAGTGTGATCTGGACTAACTGATGTGTTACACTGTTAGTTGACACAATTAATTAAATAGTTAGTCTAGCTTCTATCACACAAGGATTAGTTATTAATGATTAATATTTTAATTATAAATTTAATGCCTATCCGGTTCGATAAGGACCATAATGTGGGACATTTGGGGTTTGAATCTGATTATTTAAATATTAATGTAGTAAATAAAATTACGAAGGACCACCCGCTTTTATAGTAAAGAGGGAAACTGAGAATTTCTGATCATTAGATAATTCCTAGATGAACCAGTAACTATGGATAAAATACTAGAGAATATGATCATAAAAATAATTAATGGGCTGTATAATTAAATGAATCAAACCCTCAAACACCTACATTGGGGGGTTATTACTGGAAGTCAGTACGTCCAGGAACTAGTGTGGTTCGTTCACTAATCCAAATTATAATAATCTAATCCTATGAATTATAGTGAAACTAATGTCATTACCATGAATGGGAACATAGATTATAAGTATAGTAATGATAGTCACAATAAACACATGTTAATCCAAAGGAATTCTGCATGTAAGTAATTTCAGAAATTTCATGAATAAATACAAAGAAATCTTAGCTTAAAGACGATTCCTTTATGTAAGCCACGACGTTTCCTCTAATTCCCTGGGCTCGGCTGGCTGACGAATGCGATGGATTAACATGGGAGAAGGCGGCAGGGAGAATTCTTCTCACGTGCTGCAAGACAAATATTTACAGTAGCAACTAATTAAACTACTGAATCTCTATATTCAAGAAATTACGAGTTACAGGTGATAAATAATTAATAACCTGTGGTTTGGTGTTAACATGCGTCGTCACGGTCAATCACCCAGCTACTACACTACACTTTACCGGATGCATCAAATAAAGAGAAGATACTTAGCTAATATGGGCACTGTATAAGTTTTAAGATTGCCGAAATTCGCGTCCCAGGCTCCGGCTTCAGCTTATCCTGGATAATGGCGCGCTTCACTGGCCGGTCACGTGTAGTCAAGAACCAGATTAAAAAGGTTCCTTATGTTACACCAGCACCAGTTGAAGATATTATCTGCAAGGTTGTTCACGCCTCACAGTGGCAACTTTCATCTGAGGATGGCTGGGCAATGGCGTCTCCTCGTGAGCACGATACGGGTAGGTCTGTCTCAAAGCTTCCCTCCACGTGTACTGGCGTGCCTCTCCACCCCATGCCGCGTCTCGCGTTCATTAGACAAATTATTGTCATGAATATTAGTATTTCTCGCATTTATGCTTGAAATGTTGAAGACTGGACGGGTTTATTATTTAGAAGAGGACAATATTATTATTTGCCAATTTAGTGATAGTAAACGTATAAGGGAGAGGAATTAATGTCTCCCCATGGCATTCACATGTGTTGTTAACTTTTATTACTAGATAATCGCTATGACTCCAACGCTCTATTCGGCTTTTAGTTGGAGGACAATTCATCTGTAATTAATTATCATACAGAATGCCTTGGTTATAGAGAATCGAATTTAATTCTCAGATACATTGGATATAATGTGTTTATTGTAAGGAAATCTGACGCAATACTGGCGTCGGATGACGTGAGAATTCTAGCCTACTGCACAGATGAAATTATTAGTACATGAGAATTCTACGTGGTGTTAATTTTACTTACTACAATAATTAGTAGAGTTAGTAATAAGTAATGAGAATACAACAGTGTTGTATTCGGTGTTGGAAATTTCCAACACTACGTGACGTCACCACCTTACTCATCGTCAGCGCCAGTGTGTGTGCGGGTGTCTGTCTGTTAAGCATACAGCCCGCGCCCTACTGCAAGTACCCTCCGTGTCTATGAGCGAAGCCAGCTGTCAGGCCATCTACGAGTGCTTGTGTAAATGTGCCTGAGTGAGTGAGTGAGTAAGGAATGGTACCTATCTGTAAGTACAAGAATCTTGTCATTGTTATATTGTGTCTGTGTTGATCTGAGGAATCAACCACAGTTCTCACCTTCTCATACCTGTCACAGGTCATAGGTGAATCGACGGTGAATGCGTGTTTATCTGTGTGGTATCACTGCATTTCACTGTCTGTGAATGTGAGCTTCACATACACCACACATTTAGTTATTGTGTGATAATATTATTGTGCATGTTATTGTCTGTCCCATTGACAGTGTATTTGTTGATTTATTGCATATCATCATTACCGAGTATCCGGTTGGAACTCTTGTGATCCCATTGCATACCGGTAGTTAGGTTGCCGTGTTAATGATTGGCTGCCAACTGTGTTAAGTTAGGTGTTTCTCCAAGAGTGGATACGAGTCGTTTAGCCAGACGTCAAGAGCCTCGCTAATATAACCATAGCTTTGCTGACGCCAATCTAAAGTAAATCAAGCACCCTGTGTATTAGTGGTTAAGTTAGTAATAAACTACTGTTAAGCTATATGCGGTGTTTCCGTTGAACCACTTCTGAATACTGCCAATATTACACAAGCCTTCAGCTCTAAGTGTCTTCAACACCGAGTTGCCTATAAGTCACTAAACTATAAATGTGATGAGGACCCTAGGAGTCCCTTAAAGGGTTAAATCATTGAGGAGATTCCAACGATCAACGTGGAGCAGGACCAGGTGAGGCTAGTCTGAGATGAGACCCTCAAGGACTCTAACTCGACCTTGCTCCCAAGCCCTGTATGGTTGCTCTCGTATTTTCTATTCTGCTAATTCCGACAGCTTCGTGAAGCGTCTGCCACATGTACATTGGCGACGTACGCATTGCAGTCGTGAAAGCAAAAAAGAAACACCCCACAGTCCTAAACTCTGGAATGGCCTCCTTAATGAGATTTAAACATTGTTCTTCTCTCAACCAGTTTAAAAGAGAAAACAAGAAGTAAATTTATGTAACCAGCTCTGTTTGCCTCTTCTCATCTTGCATGAGAAGAGGCAAATGGACCTGTGTTTGATGTTACTTTGAACATTAATTACTAAATTTTGGCTCTCACACTTCTACAATTATAAAATTACTTACCATGTTCTGTTGCAAAAATTGCAGTCTCCTATTATTTAAAAAAAAATTTCATTTCCTAAATCTCTTCAACAATTCAACATTTTAATTTACTCATTTAGGTATTACTCCATTAAGCTTGTACAATACAGTATATTATTTTCACAATTTTTTCACATTATGCACAGAATGATATTTGTGGTTTTATCCATTACTGTATATTTATTTCCATAAAATAATAAGAGCAATGTAATTTTTTTATCTATTTCTATGACAATATTGCCACTCCAAAACTTTTTTAATGAGAAGAGATCATAAATGAGATGGCACCCCCTTCTAGCCTGTTCCATCTCTCATTGGCACTTTTCTACAGTATATGCACTGTTTGAAAGAAAATTAAATTGCTTAAAAATTATAAACCGTAGATGCATGGTATAAAACACTTGCCTCTTAGAATGCTGGTTCTTCAGTTTAAATATTGATCAGTAAATCACGATTAAAATTTTAATTTCATAAACAAAAATTTATTATACAATTATATAAAAATAATGAATAATTATAAATTCTGAATGTAATTACAGTACTTAACCCTTGCAGGTGTGTTGCTTTAAAACAACTCTCACATTTGCGGACTCCATCGGCGAGATTTTTGGCCCGCTGTTAACTGGCCACCAAGTGGTCGTCATCCCTAAGGTAAGAGCGAGTTCAACAGTATACTAGAGAGGTCACCCTGCTTTCTGAACTCGGCCACTAGGGCCAAGCTCAGTTCGTAACAGTTTGGAAAGCAGGTTTGCCCTAGAGTAATTCTATCTTATACAAGACAGGATTATGTAAGTTAAAAAGTGGTTGACAATACTGTATGTTTCCCTGTTTTTATGGTTCGGAATGGAGAATGGAGTGCCCAACCACTTGGGCTGGGCGGTAGAGTGACGGTCTCGCTTCATGTAGATCGGCGTTCAATCCCCGACCGTCCAAGTGGTTGAGCACTATTCCTTCCCCACCATCTCATCCCAAATCCTTATCCTGACCCCTTCCAAGTGCTATATAGTCGCAATGGCTTGGCGCTTTCCCTTTAAAAATTCTCTTCCCCATAAAATATTTTAAAACATTTAACCAAAAGACACTAATTTTGATCAACAGGCCGTGACTCGGGCTGTGGATGAGATGGTGGCCGTGCTGGAGAAAGAGAAAGTTGGAAGGCTGGTGTTAGTGCCAAGCTTGTTGAGATCCATTTTACTACACTGCTCTGCAGATGAGTCTCCAAAGCTGTCATCTCTTAGGTATGAACCAGCTAGTCTTCTCAGTAAAGTGCAGTATTCATAATATCATGCTGCACTTCAAACATATATTAAAGAAAAGGGTGTTTGTGTGGAGAAGAAATAAATTCCTGACAACAGTGTAGATCTGGAAATGAAACAAAAAAGATTTTATTTGTAGGTAATACTTCCCCCTCTGAGGAGAGAGAAATTTCTGTAGAGTGAAATGTTTCCTGAATTTACCTGATGGTCACTGTATCTCTAGTAGCTTTCATAAGGACAGGAAAGTGGAAGCTTGGCATTGCCCCCCTCCCATTTTCCTGATTTTATCCAGCTGGATTCTGAATTCCAACAGTATTTTGGAATTTAGGGCTTCAACAGGTTATCTTGGTTATCTTGAGGTTATCTTGACCGCCGGTGCCTGGGATCGAACCCAGGACCACAGGATCACAAGCCCAGCGTGCTGTCCGCTCGGCCGACCAGCTCCCGGTCAGGTAGGCAATTCCATGGGATTAAAATCCTATCGGTGATAAAGCATGACATCTGACCTGTTGGACGCTTCATTGACCTAAGAAAGGCTTTTGATACTGTTAACTTTAACTACCTCTTACTTAAACTCCCCCATTATGTAATCTGTGGCCTTGCCCTGAACTATATCCGATCCTATCTTAGTGACAGACACCAATATGTAGCCATTAATGAGATAACCTCTCCTACTCTACCACTAACCGTATGGGTGCCACAGAGCAACATCCTAGGACCCCTCCTGTTTCTTATATACATTAATGATCTGCCTAATGTCTCTAACATGTTTAAGCCTATTTTGTTTGCTGATGATACTACTCTCATCTACTCTGACCCCAACCCACTTATATTAAATAATGTTGTAACAATGAATTAAAAAAGAGCCCACTTATGGATGTCAACCAACAAACTCACAGTAAACATAGAAAATACCTACTACATCTTATTTGGAAACAAATCAACAAATTGAATTCAGCTTCAGATAGATAATGTAAACATTAGCAATAAAAATTATGAAAAGTTTCTTGGCCTTTACCGAGACAAGAGACTCAGCTTCAGCACCCACATTCAACAAATAACTAAAAATGGTTTCTAAAACAGTTGGTATACTCTCTAAGTTCAGATACTATGTACCCTACTCTGCTCTCCTATCACTCTATTATGCACTTATCTATCCCTATCTTACTTATGATATCTGTGCTTGGGGTTCAACCTCTGCAAACTACCTCAAGCCCATCATCAACCAGCAGAAATCTGCTATCTGGATAATAACACACTGCTTTCAGACAACACCGCCCCCTTTGTTTAAATCCCTAAATATGCTAAACATAATTCACTTCATACATTCTCTTGTGTCAATTACATGTATAAAACGCTTTTCTTAAATGCAAACCCTGCTCTGAAACTCTTCCTGGACAAATGTAATAGAACACATAATCACTACACCAGACATAAATATCTCTTTGATATCCCCAGAGTCAAACTAAATCTGTGTAAACACTCTATGCAAATACAGGGACCTAGTCTATGCAACTCACTCTCTAATGTATTGAAAAGTTGTCCAACTTTTGCCTTATTCAAAAATAAAACCAAAAAGTACCTAATTTCATCTTCATAGTCTTCTACCTAGTGCTTTATCTTCACACTGTTTCTAGTGCTACCCAATCCCCCATTATTTGTACCTAAGCCATATTCTTTACCATTGTAATCTTAGATCATCTGATATCATGGTTGTTGTACTGAGTGCATATTCTCCTGCATTATTCCTTGTAATGATCCACATATTGTGCTTCAGTGAACCAATGTATAACCTTGAGTTGTTTTCCCAATATATAACCCTGAGATGTTTTCCTAATTGTATCTAGTAATCCTTCTTCATTATTGTGTATTTCTATTACTGTGTATTATTCTAATTTGCGTTGGTGTAAAAAATTCTTGCTATGTGCCTGTAATTTTTTTTTGTCAATTTTACTGTTAATTCTCTAAAAATTATCTGTTAGTTTAAAGATCTGCTTTAAGATTAGTTTAGAGAACTTGCCTGAAACGCTTTGCGTGCTAGTGGCTTTACAAAAATGTAATTTCAACTTAAACTCTATGTTCTCTGTTAACCCCCAATGTACCTTCTTGTATATAAATAAATAAATAAATAAATTAAAGAAGTGGTGTGGATCAGTAACCTCCAAATTGTTCAGCCTTTTCAAAGGTTCGATAATTTCAAGGGGAACAGGAAAAATTAGGGGTTTATAATTGGTGTGATTTTCCTAAATTAATAACAATTTAGTAATAAGAATACTTTATAAAAATACATGATTGTAAAAAAAAAGATGTACAGTATAGGTATTTTATAGTCAAATTTTTGTCCACAGGCTGTGGGTGTGTTCTGGTGAAGTGCTCACATCAGACTTGTTACATTCCTTCTTTGAGACATTCACAAATGGCCAGGTGAGTGTCGCACTCAGCTGCCACTGCAAAAGAGTAAAAGAAAACTCAATGTGTTTTATCGTGTACATTAAATATATATATATATATATATATATATATATATATATATATATATATATATGGTATATGCAACTGAAAACTCACACCCCAGAAACTTGACCATCACGACCGGACATAATGAGGTGATAGCCGAGGCTATATGAACCACCCCACCGCCGGCACTCGGATAGTTATCTTGGGCATAGCATTTTACCAAATCACCTCATTCTTTGGGGCACACGTGAGGAACACAAATGCGAACAAGCCTGAATGGTCCCTTGGACATATGCGACTGAAAACTCACACCCCAGAAGTGACTCGAACCCATACTCCCAGAAGCAACGCAACTGGTATGTACAAGACGCCTTAATCCACTTGACCATCACGACCGGACATAATGAGGTGATAGCTGAGGCTATATGAACCACCCCACCGCCGGCACTCGGATAGTTATCTTGGGCATAGCATTTTACCAAATCACCTCATTCTTTGGGGCACACGTGAGGAACACAAATGCGAACAAGCCTGAATGGTCCCCAGGACATATGCAACTGAAAACTCACACCCCAGAAGTGACTCGAACCCATACTCCCAGAAGCAACGCAACTGGTATGTACAAGACGCCTTAATCCACTTGACCATCACGACCGGACATAATGAGGTGATAGCCGAGGCTATATGAACCACCCCACCGCCGGCACTCGGATAGTTATCTTGGGCATAGCATTTTACCAAATCACCTCATTCTTTGGGGCACACGTGAGGAACACAAATGCGAACAAGCCTGAATGGTCCCCAGGACATATGCAACTGAAAACTCACACCCCAGAAGTGACTCGAACCCATACTCCCAGAAGCAACGCAACTGGTATGTACAAGACGCCTTAATCCACTTGACCATCACGACCGGACATAATGAGGTGATAGCCGAGGCTATATGAACCACCCCACCGCCGGCACTCGGATAGTTATCTTGGGCATAGCATTTTACCAAATCACCTCATTCTTTGGGGCACACGTGAGGAACACAAATGCGAACAAGCCTGAATGGTCCCCAGGACATATGCAACTGAAAACTCACACCCCAGAAGTGACTCGAACCCATACTCCCAGAAGCAACGCAACTGGTATGTACAAGACGCCTTAATCCACTTGACCATCATGACCGGACATAATGAGGTGATAGCCGAGGCTATATGAACCACCCCACTGCCGGCACTCGGATAGTTATCTTGGGCATAGCATTTTACCAAATCACCTCATTCTTTGGGGCACACGTGAGGAACACAAATGCGAACAAGCCTGAATGGTCCCCAGGACATATGCAACTGAAAACTCACACCTTATTCTGAGCTACGCGTTGCTTCTGGGAGTATGGGTTCGAGTCACTTCTGGGGTGTGAGTTTTCAGTTGCATATGTCCTGGGGACCATTCAGGCTTGTTCGCATTTGTGTTCCTCACGTGTGCCCCAAAGAATGAGGTGATTTGGTAAAATGCTATGCCCAAGATAACTATCCGAGTGCCGGCGGTGGGGTGGTTCAAATAGCCTCGGCTATCACCTCATTATGTCCGGTCGTGATGGTCAAGTGGATTAAGGCGTCTTGTACATACCAGTTGCGTTGCTTCTGGGAGTATGGGTTCGAGTCACTTCTGGGGTGTGAGTTTTCAGTTGCATATGTCCTGGGGACCATTCAGGCTTGTTCGCATTTGTGTTCCTCACGTGTGCCCCAAAGAATGAGGTGATTTGGTAAAATGCTATGCCCAAGATAACTATCCGAGTGCCGGCGGTGGGGTGGTTCATATAGCCTCGGCTATCACCTCATTATGTCCGGTCGTGATGGTCAAGTGGATTAAGGCGTCTTGTACATACCAGTTGCGTTGCTTCTGGGAGTATGGGTTCGAGTCACTTCTGGGGTGTGAGTTTTCAGTTGCATATGTCCTGGGGACCATTCAGGCTTGTTCGCATTTGTGTTCCTCACGTGTGCCCCAAAGAATGAGGTGATTTGGTAAAATGCTATGCCCAAGATAACTATCCGAGTGCCGGCGGTGGGGTGGTTCATATAGCCTCGGCTATCACCTCATTATGTCCGGTCGTGATGGTCAAGTGGATTAAGGCGTCTTGTACATACCAGTTGCGTTGCTTCTGGGAGTATGGGTTCGAGTCACTTCTGGGGTGTGAGTTTTCAGTTGCATATGTCCTGGGGACCATTCAGGCTTGTTCGCATTTGTGTTCCTCACGTGTGCCCCAAAGAATGAGGTGATTTGGTAAAATGCTATGCCCAAGATAACTATCCGAGTGCCGGCGGTGGGGTGGTTCATATAGCCTCGGCTATCACCTCATTATGTCCGGTCGTGATGGTCAAGTGGATTAAGGCGTCTTGTACATACCAGTTGCGTTGCTTCTGGGAGTATGGGTTCGAGTCACTTCTGGGGTGTGAGTTTTCAGTTGCATATGTCCTGGGGACCATTCAGGCTTGTTCGCATTTGTGTTCCTCACGTGTGCCCCAAAGAATGAGGTGATTTGGTAAAATGCTATGCCCAAGATAACTATCCGAGTGCCGGCGGTGGGGTGGTTCATATAGCCTCGGCTATCACCTCATTATGTCCGGTCGTGAGTATATATATATATATATATATATATATATATATATATATATATATATATATATATATATCAAGATATTGAGCCTGCTCTTCCCTCCAAAGTTCGTCGATACATACATCTATATAAAACTAGTATGGATGAAATATCCAACAACGACAACAACATCTCCAAGGTTTGCCAGAGAGCAAAACGTATGCAGCCAGGAACACCTGCTCCACCTCGAACCACCAAACTACCTGTCTTGTCGCCGGCTCCTCGCTGATTGGCTGCGAGTCCAGCTGTAACTGCACTCCACCCACCATACTACTTGATGTCTGGGGCCGCCACGACCTCAGTCTTCAGAATATCCCGTGCTTTCGACAAGTTAACACGTCTCGTTGGTAGACTAAGCCCCAGGCTTACGTGTACTAAGAGAAGTGATAGCTTGAAGCCAATATTCCGGCACCTATTTACTTTGTTTGCCATACTCTTGTTATTTGCTCACTTGTCTTAACGTAACTTTTCATTTTGCCATTTGATTATTCTTATTACTTTGATTGATTTTATTATACGAATTGAAATTGAAATTGAAATTGAAATAAGTTTATTGAGGTAAAATACACACAAAGGGATGAGGTAGCTCAAGCTATTCTCACCCCATTCAGTACAACGTGTTAATATATACATAGACACACATCACAAATAAACATATTGCCAAACATTCTGAGAGGTAAACATATACATTTCCTCCTTCACAAGGAGTATGTTATCAGACGTACACACAAATACTTTTATGACCTAGGTATACTGTATAGACAATTTGCAAGAGACATGCAGATAATTCAACAAAATATTACAATCTTGGTGCAAAATTCTTATATCTCTCAAGAATATCATCAACCTTTCCGTTGTGACACATCCAGGCTATTTGTTCAGGAACAGTCCTATCTCAGTGTTTCTATATACATTAATCAACGGACAATCAAGAACATAATGGTCCAGGGTGTGAGACCTTAACATACCACATAGTTTACACCTCGTGTCATTATCATGAACATCTAACCCGTATTCCCAGTAATATTTGTACCCAAGCCTGAGCCACATGTACACAGAGTCACTCCAAGCATTTCTCCTTTTACCATAAGTGAAATGGGTGTTTTGACTCACATACATGTAGTGTTGCATGGTTTGACTACTCTCATACATTATCTCTCTCCTCTCCACTCCCGCCTGTACCTGAATAATTCTGATTTTGCTTCTTATTTGTCTCATTGTGAATTCACATTCAATGTCAACTTGTGGTTTTGATGTGGCACGTTTGGCCAAGTCATCCGCCACCTCGTTGAGCACTATTCCAACATGAGATGGAATCCACATGAATTTCACACTAACCTTTCAGCTGTATCTCAGTTATTCTTCTCTTACAGTCCTCAACTATAGACATGAAGACTGGGTTTCGACTGTTTAAGGACTCCAGTGCTCCTCGGCTATCGATAAATACAAAAACATTTTTGTCATCATGACGTACTTCCTCCAAACACGCCAGAATGGCCTGCAGTTCAGCTTGTGTGGATGATATATAATTACTAAGCCGGAGTTCAATTATCCTGTCCACAGTCCCAAACTCCGTATAATCCCTTATTAGGACACCACACCCTGCCCTGCCATCCTCCGCCACCGACCCGTCGCAATATACATGTAAACTGTTGCCTCTTGGTAACCGAGATATCATGCTTCCATACAAACACCGTAATTGTCCCGGTTCATGATGAATCTTTTTCGCCTTGAGGGGTACAATTTCGACGTCTATTTTCCGTACTTTCCAGGGAGCAGACATATTACACTGTCGAGAGGGTTCACAGCAGTCAAGTACGTCGTATTCCCTGAGGTCATGAGCTAATCCCCTCGTGTAGCGTGTCTCCCTCAGTTTCCTGGAAGTGTGTACGTCACTCAAGCAGGTCTGAACGCTCTCAAACAGCTTATCCACTCCTTTTCTCTACATGAAACGAATAGATACTCTAGTGTTAATGTCACGGACTCTATCACACACACTCTGTAAATTTAATTCCATTCTCATTATTTCAATCATTGCATTTCTTTGACATCCAAGAATAATCCTCATAGCCTCGTTCTGTATCAGCTCAATTTTTTGAATTCTGCCTTGGCCTGTGTAAGACAATACGGGTGCTGCGTAGTCTATCAGGGACCGAACAGTACTTATGTATAACATCCGCAAGATAGGTACCCCAACACCTTTACCAGAAAAAGCCAGTGCTTTCAGAGGATGCAGACGGGCTTTACATAAGGTGCTGATATGATTTATTTCAGCATTTTTACTCTCACATGTGTATCCAACATACATGCCCAGATACTTGTA